GCAAGGCTGGCTGGGGAATTCTGGGAGTTGAAGTCCACATGTCCTAAAGTGGCCAAGTTTGAACAACACTGCTTTAGAGAGACCGAGTCCTTTTTCTTGAAGTGCTTCAATAAAAAGAGGAACAGCTAATTCTCGTCTTTGGGGCCTTACTGGGCAGAACCTGGGGGGAAGGGGTTCCATGCTTTGCGGCGAACAAGTTATTAGTGGAAACAACCAATTGTTTCTGCCAATTTCATGTGTAGTTACGGGCTGCTCAGAAGCAAACAACATCTAGATTGTGGAAACTATAATCCGCTACATCTGGAAGGGAAGAGGCTGTTCTAGGCAGATTATTTTCAGTTTTTCTATTCAGTGGTAGCCCTGATTCTCTGGGATTCTATTCTGAGAAAAAATACACCCTGCTCTCTCCGTTGCCACTTTTATGAAAGCTTTAAAACACAATAACTTCTTTTCTCCAACGTTTACCTAAATGCTTTGACTATACCTATGGCTCCTTTTGCAGGAGAGTTGAAGTTCCAGATTTAATTGTTTTCAATTGTCTGTTATGGTAACTAAATTATTTGAAATATATTCAGATTAAGTTGCTATGCTCTGAATTGATCATGTTGAAGTTGGCTTTGCTTCCTAAAATGCTGGTTAAAGGAACAAATGCAATGGTTTTGTTCTGAGGGTCATGTAGCAAACTACCTGTTACAATAGCACCAACTTTCAAATATTTACCTTCCTAAGATTTCTTTAGGTTCATATTTTTCATAAAATTCTTCAGAAGTATGGTTATCTGGCGGTTCTTCAGTTCTGGTCATTTTGGTCTTCTTTTTAGGAGCCTTCTAGAAGATTACTCCAAGTTGACAAAATGCTGCAATAACAGAAACAGGAAAAAAAAAAACCCAACCCATCTTTCACCTGATTATAATTACAGCAAGGAAGGGAGGGGGGAATTCATGTCACGTTGCACATGATAAATATTCTTTAAGGGTAAGCTTTCTTTGTGCAATTCTAGATCAGTGTTTCTCAACCTCAGGAACTTTAAAATGTGTGGACTTCAACTCCCAGAACTCCCCAGCTGGCATGCTGGCTGGGGAATTCTGGGAATTGAAGTTAGCACATCGTAAAGTTGCTGAGGTTGAGAAACACTGTTCTAGATTGGTATATAAAGTTATAGGAATGACTGTGTCAAAATATTTTTAGACCTAAAACCTAACTGGAATATATGTTAACTGAACCCATCTGTCAGTCTTCAGAGAGACATCACACTAACTCTTTCATTCCAGAAACTCAGTCCTGCATGAACTACAGGTAGTCCTCGTTTAGAAACCACAATTGGGACTGGCAACTTGGTCATTAAGTGAAGCAGTTGTTAAGTGAAACCATGACTGTGCTTATGATCTTAAGTTTTCCTTTGCTTTGTAGACCTGCGAAGGTCATAAATGTGAGGATTGGTCACAAAGTTACTTTTTCATCATCGTGGTAACTGCGAGCGGTTGCTAAATGAGGCAGTCACTAAACAAGGACTACCTGTGGTTAAGAGCAGAAGTTTCATAGAGTATGAGTAGGTAAGTTGCTTTATTGCTGACAAAAAAGGAAACATATTTATGCCGAACTTCTGCCTATTTCAGAACACAGAAATCAAGTGATCTTTTTTTTCTCTTCCTCAGTTCCAGAGTTTAAGCAGTTTCCTTTCTCCCTTTCAAATCTTTGGACTCTTTGTTCTGTCTAATTCCCATTCTGCCAGCTTCATTGTGCCATGTAAATCCATAAAATTGGGTTACCTGAATAAATCATGGTTCACTTAATCTTGGTCAAAATAACCACAGTCAAACACAGATAAAAACATAGCAACTGGTGGATTCACACATTTCACTAAACTAAAATGTAGTTTGCTATTTTTTTAGTTAAAATGATGACAGAATCTAGGCATTGTGGCTTCACAGGATTTGTGTACTAGGCTGCTGTGATTTGATCAATAAACCATGACTCATGGTTTCTAACTTTTAAATATGTATCTTTAAAATCTTAATAAACTATTATAAAAAAACAAAAGCAAACCATGACTCATAAATTTGAGGCTTAGAATTCTGTATAAACACTGGCACTGAATAGACCAGTGTTTCTCAACTTTAGCAACTTTACGATAAGTGGACGTCAACTCCCAGAATTCCCTAGCTGGCTAGGGAATTCTGGGAGTTGAAGTCCATGGATCTTAAAGTTGCTAAGGTTGAGAAACACTGGAATAGACTAATTCAACCCTGAGAGGATTTACTCATATTCAGTTGCCCTGGGCCTATCTGAACCTTCCCTCTCTTGGATCTAACTGCAGTACCAACTTATCTTTATTTACTGCTCCATCCTCATAATGTTGCCTTCATCTCATCCCCAGCACATACTCTATGCCTGTCAGCGATTGTTCAGGCTGCTTTTAAACACAGGTTTAGTGCTATTCTGGAATAGTGCTAAACCAATCTCTTTTGAATGCACCTGTGCAAAACTAAAATGTATGTTTAACTCAGCCATGCAAAGGACCCCTTTCTTTTCTTCCTGACTGGCTTCTGTCTTTATACTGCAAAGCTACCCAAGATATTAACCTTTCTGCTCTCTTTAAATTACAAGACAGTTATTGTGTTTGCTTTTTGGAATTAGCTCCCCCTCCCTAGATTTGGATAGCTCCAACCTTATTAGCCTTTCACACAACTCTGAACACCTGGTTTTTCTTCCCTGCAGTGGGCCATCATGACAACTAAGCCTGCTCTGCTGATTGCTTACCGATATGTGTACGTAGTTCTTTTTTCTTTTTATGTTATTTTATGTTCAATATTGTGCTTCATACATGTACACAGACCAGAGTCATAAACTTACTATTTCCTTAAATAAGTAAAAAATAGATTTACTGACACTGCTTTATAAATAAGAAGCTTTTGTTTAAAAAATGTAACAAATGTCCAGATGTCTAAATTGGAACATACCACAAATGATGAGGATTCAGTGTGGGAAATGTTGACCTGCCATAATCTAATTTCTCCATGCGCATAAGAAGGATAGTCAAGACAGTTGCAGTTGGTTTTAGAATAAGGCTGAATCTGGATGTTCTCTTGAACTAAGTAGAAATTCCTTTGTAAGCTACATGGCAGCCTGCTGGAAACTGGCTTTACACATGGTTCCCCTTGAAATCAGTGACATAGATTAGTTATGACTTAAGTCCCATTGATTTAAATAGAGAACAAATTTAGTCTGGATTGGAACAGTATTGTGATTCAGTTCAGATGTAGCATAGCGTGTATAAATTAGTTTGAGGCGTACACAAAATGTTTTCTTTTCCTGATTGCTAACTGTAGGCAAGTGATTCACTTTTTAAAGCAGTAATTGGGGAATTCAAGCAATTTCAGAGTGAAGCTTCCCTGGAAAGCAGACCGTAAGATCAAAATCTTTGTCTTCCATTCTAGAAACTTTGAAGACATAGAAGCCAGGGAATGGAAAATGCTACCTTTTTCTGTACATTCTACTCTTATTTTTAATATAGTGCTAAACCCAAACTCTGCTTTAGCCTTATTTCCCTGCATATATCTCAAAATTAACCATTACACTTACAAAGTTGCATAATTTAATTCATTGGCTAAACAAGACCACTTTCTTGATAAAAGACACGATTACTTACCGTAACCGTCATTTACACAATCTGCGTCTTCTAACCAAGAGTTTTCTAACTGGCACAGCAGATCAAATCCCACAGCCCAGCTTGAGAAAGAATTGCCTACGTTACATGACAGCCAGCAATTAAACAACATAGCAGCGTCTCACATTCTCTGTTAATTTGTTGCGGATCACTTGCGCTGCAGGGACTGCATTGCCAAAAATAAAAATCGCAGTGCAACTCGAGAATTGTTCCAAGCCCTCCTGTTTGCACAGTCACTCCCTGCTTATGTCGGAGTGACCCTCCTTTGAGGTGAAGGAACTCTTCGACAAGCAACAGCGCTTCCATGAATGAGTGGACAAACAGGGCTTCCTTCTCCAAGGAAACGAGAACCAGGCACATCAGCTGGAATGCATGCAGAATAGGATTCCACAGGACACAAAATGTGAAGTGCAACAGGACTGATTTTTGTTTTTTAGCTCTGTATCTTAAGAGGGCACACTGAGGGGAAGGGGGCTGAGAATGCAGTTAGCCCTAAGTGGCACACTTGGAATCTTAATCAAAAAGTAAGCAGGACAAACACAAATCAATGCTTTTGTGGGATCAAAACGCAGGATGCAAATGCAGAATAATCAAGGCTTCACTGCAGTGTTTATTGAGCCGTACGTACTGGAGGGGGACCCCACAAGAAGTTAGTGGGAGGCACTCCCCTACAGGCAAAATGGATGTTCTGATATTTATACAGTTCTACAAGAAGGGGAAGGGAATACGCATACATATTCATATGATGATGCAGGCATGCCTAAATAGGCAATAGTTCTCAAGTTACTCTCTGCCT